GTAAGGAATTGGGAGAAAGGGTGGCTGAGCCTTTCTCACCTAGCGTGAGTAACTCCATGTTTTTCATTCTCTCAGTGGTCCTGCTGCCTCTATCATTACGTTCTCCAAGGTGCAGCTCATGTTAAGTATGGGCAATATGCAATAGTGGCAGTCACCCTATAGGGTAACAGGGAACTATCTTTGGCTGGACAAACTTTCTAAGTTCCGACATTTGAACAGCACCAAAATAGACATGTCCGTTAAGGGATTTTTGGAAGGATTCTCAATACTTTGGCCGCTTTGTCTGATGTCTGCTTTTGTGATCTGGCCGCTTTGTCAGTATGGACTAGTACCGGCTCCACTAAACGCTGCTTGCATGATTTGAGGGAAGTCTGCTTAGTGGTATCTTTTGCTATCGGATGCTGTAGAGTGGTTGGAAAAAGGGCGTGGTGAGCGGGGTGTGGGAATTGCGGCAGGGATTGCTGACCCTTAATGCATCAGGAGATAACTCATTCTGCTAAAATGAGGTCGAGAAGATATAATGAATGAACAGTCACAATATATTAGGAAAATACCCATAATACATTTTGAAGACTGTAACTGTTTATCTCATGAAAGGAAAGTCACCTGGCATTTTTCTGATAAACTGAGGTATCTTCCTGTTGTACTTCTTCCTGTAACTTTGCAGTAGAAGTTCTCACTGCTTTAAAATAATTCATAATTCATTCGTGGAATGTAGTTCAGCAATGAATCCATCGGAGTACTGTCGCATTTTTCGTTAATTAGGAGCTCTATCAAAATGCGCGCAATACGGCTCATCCAGGGCCACTGTTGCCAGTAAATTCTTGTGAATCCCATTTCCTTTACAATCCCTTATCTTGTCAGGAAATTCGAATAAATTCTGTTCTCTATCACAGCCATATTTGGAAAAGGATTGCAGAGTCTTATTATGGTCTTCCTCGGTTGTTTGCATTTTTTTGATGTCCAGCGCATTCAGGAAAGGAGCGGAAAAGTTGAATGCTAGGGAATATAATTGATAGGAACTAATAATATTGTATGTCTCACGAGCATACGAAGATTTGACGGATTTCTTCAATCAGGTCGTTGCTGAGAAGAAGACGCCCAAGGACTGGCAAGAGAGCACGACGATTCCGATTTGGAAGAAGAAGGGCAGCCCTGCGGACTGCTCGAACTACCGTCCAATTCGCCTGCTGTCACACAGTATGAAGATCTTTGAGCGTATTGTTGACAGTCGTATTCGCGAAATCGTCGAGCTTTCTATCAATCAGTGCGGCTTTGTGGCAGGCTGTAGCACCATCGACGCCATACATGCCGCGCGTCTTCTGCTGGAGAGACATCGTGAGAAGCAAGTACCACTGCATCTAGCTTTCTGGACCTAGAAAAGGCATTCGACCGTGTTCCGCGTAAAGTTATATGGTACGCCTTGCGGCAACACGGCGTTTCGGAAGAGCTTATCGAGTGGGTGCGCATCCTGCACTCCAGCCCAAGGAGCCGCGTGCATGCACCATTAGGCACTTCGCAGGACTTTCCCATCACGGTCGGAGTACATCAAGGCTCTGCGCTCTCTCCCACTTCTTTTGTAATCGTCTTGGATGCAATCTCGCGAGATCTCCTTCGACGCTCCTCTACGCAGATGATGTGGTGCTGGCCTAGTGAAGATAAGAACGAACTCGAGCAGCAGGTGCAAGCTTGGTCTGATCGCCTGACAAAATTCGGACTGAAGTTGAACATCAAGAAAACCGAGTACTTGACGACCGATACAAATGAGTCCGATTCCATTAGGATCAGTGGCATCGAGCTCACACGCACAAGAGCCTTCAAGTATCTTGGATCAGAAATTGTGTCCGATGGCAGTCTGACCTCAGAGGTGAACTCTCGTGTGAGTGCAGCATGGGCGAAATGGCGCTCGATGACTGGAGTTCTGTGTGACAAGACCATACCGGAGCACCTCAAATCGAAGATTTATAGAACTGTGGTCAGACCAGTAGCGTTGTACGGGGCTGAGTGCTGGCCTGCAACCAAGGAAGTCGAAGCCCGCCTTAGTGTGATGGAGATGAAAATGCTACGTTGGACGGCCGGTGTCACCCGCATGGATCGGATTTGCAACGATGACATACGCAAGAAGTTTGGCGTAGCTTCCATAGTTGATAAAATGCGAGAATCTCGTCTCCGATGGTATGGCCACGTACTTCGCGCGAAGGCGGACACCGTCTGCAAAACTGGTCTCCAGCTCGAGGTGCTCGGCAAACGACCGAGAGGACGCCCCAGGCAACGTTGGCTTGACACGCTGCACGCGGATTTAAAGATAGTTGGTGCTCACCCTGATCAGGCATTCGACCGGAATAAATGGCGTAACAAAATCAGGAGAGCGGACCCCGCTACAGAGCGGGACAAACGCTGAAGAATAAGAAGATTTAAACTGTACACATCATCTGGGTCCAATTAGAAGGAGAAAAATAAAATATTGGAAAAGGAAAACACTCCAAAGCACAGATGATCCGTTTCGCTTGTTTCTTAGACGAATCCTTACTGTGTTGGCAACTCCCCGCCAAACTGCCTTGATTTCCCAATCTTTCGCGCTCTCTTGTTTAGACACCAGTGATCCATCCCCAACTTAGCATTTTCCCGTTTCTCAAACCAGACAAGTTACCGTGGGGTGCTCCGTGGTGAATTGTCTATCGGGAATCATCCGTATCGTTTTTACCTTGGCAGTGCTTTAACAAAAGCTGAAATAGTCACGTGATTCCAAGAGAATACAGGCATCAAGCTATCGTGGGAAGCTGCGGCCATGGTCGCCGAACCTCATCACACCTAGTAAGGCCCAATTTCGTAACCTTTATCGTCGTCGACGACGTCTTTCGAACCAAGCGGGAGCGGCAAGTAGCTGTTGTGCAGTAAACGAGTGTACCTGTTCAGCACGCACCTTACCTTTTGTGCTTCCCCAGATAACGCTCACGATGCTCCCCTTTTCTGTCATATCCTATAATCCACTAGACCACTGGAGCATTCAGTTCAAAAAGGTAAAAGGCAAGTGGCCAATACCGAACCAAACGCCCATCGCAACCGCCCGCCCACAAACAGCCGTCCAGTCACATCACCTTGCTGCTCTTATTGCTTCATTTATGAGGTACAATTGATGTGAAACGTTGCTGAAACGGATACGTGAATACGTGCACCTATCTGTAAAAGCGATTGTTGGCATCAAAGCCGCACAGAACAATGGGTTTTCCGCAGGTTTGGCCGTTCAACTTTCCTTTTTCATCATTTAAAAACCCCTAGTTCCTAGCACCCAGAATTCTCTGTATTTGAGGTTCACTGGTAAAATGCTCGTCAGTCAAGCGGGCGACGCGAGTTTGATACACGCCTCCTTTGAAACAGAACAATAAACAAACGACAAACATTTATTTGCATGAAACACCCAAGTAGATTCGGCGCATGTATAAATAGTGAATGGAGAAAAACGAGTGGTCGTTAAACTTATCACTCTGAGATTAAAAGACAGTTGGTTAAAGCCAGTGGGAGACAACGTAAGTGAGTGGCAACCTAAAAACATCATGTACAAAAAAACGTGGAAAATCCGAAAGAAAAACAGTCACAACTCCATACAATAAGTGAAAAGGTTTAACAACAGTTCCGATCCAATTCATCTATTGTACAAAATGAGAATTAGAAGGATACCCGAGCAAAGCGCAGTACGAAAATGATGGAAAGTTATTTCACCTAGATACCTGCAGTTTGTCATCAAACGTATACGAATTTGGGGCCAAAGCTTTGGTTACATAAACATCTGTGAGCAGGCCAGCGCAGAAAAAAGAAGGCTAGCTAGCTGAAAGAACTTGGAAGCTAAGATTGTTGACCCTGATGAAGAGTAAATCACAACTAGATAACATAAAGCTCGCACATCAAAATGACAACGAGACAATCACCAGGGATATCTGAACGACCGACATGTCAGTCCTCGCAATCAAACATCTGAGCGCCTACATAAAACGTGCTAAAAACAACGTGGGTGACGATCGTCAAACAAGAATACCAGTCAAGGTTTGAAAAGAACAGCGCTCAGACCATGAGAGACGCTTCAGTCCAACCTGAGCGAACGATGAAGTAAAGGACCTTCTAGGACTTTTGATGGGACTTCTATTGAGATCACTGGAGAACGTGCTTCTAACTTCTCTTTTGACCCGTCCGCCAATCCAATATTTGCGGGTAATGAAGAAGTCATGTTCTCCCTAAAAATAAAGCTTTTGAGGTACAAAACTGATTTAAAATTAGAAATCAACTGTTCAAGATACTGTACCACTACCGAGAAACCTGGTCGGCGCTAGGTGAACAGGTGCGCACGTGTAGAAGTCGCCACTTTCGTCACTCAAAAAAGCGGGCAAATGAGGCTGGAGAGCAGTGTGTGCCTGTGTTGTATTCGCCTTTTAGGCAGCTTTCAGACTTCGTGGCGGCCTTAGGTCTCATCCAAACGCAAAGCAAACGACACACAACTTGTCGCGCGACTAGACGTACGCTTAATCATAGCGTAACGCGCTACTGGTCTGTACTAATCTACGTCCTTTCACGTTTGGCTGCTATCAACACTTAGCTGTGCACTTTGGGCAACTTCTCAACATGCTCGCTGGGGACCCTGGCATCAACGAAGCGCTGCACGCCGTGCAAGTGGAGACCCAAACGGCATCCATCTATGGCAAGCCTGCAGCTTCCAGTCCGTACACATTCGAGTGACGAAAAAGTCACTGTTCGACAGCTGCGGTCCTGCCTGCTATGGATATCATGTGGCGAGGATCCACCTGGCATGCAAGCGTACATGTATTTTCAAACTAGACGAACTGCACTGGGAACTGCGCGCCAGAACTGTTTGTGACTGACAGCTGACTATCAACGGGTCAAACACTCATTAAAGGCAGTTGGCACGATGGTTTCCTACTTCGCCCAAAATGCTAGTAGGGCGCTATATAGTGGGGAAATGGCGAAAGAACGGAGTGAAACGGTCAAAATCCCGAAAAAGCCTCCGTTCTCAGTGACTTGTAAATCGATTTCGGACGAGTTTCCCGTACGCATCTTGCCAATCACCGCTACCGAAGATACGGCTGCATATGTGTACCCATATATGCATGCAGCATCACCGCCGCTTCATACCAATCCCTTTGCTTCATAATTTGCTCAGCAAATGAATGAATACGAGCGTCAGAAACGGTCGTCCGTTTGTGGGCGGGCGGGCAAGGAAGGCGTTTGGGACGTAAAGTTGTTGCTCAATAGGGCGTTATAGAGGTACCCTCCTTGGAAAAGGCTTCACGCAGCGCCTGTCCGAGGTCACGGAATTCTGTTAAGCCAGTTGTACAAATTCTACACCTGTATAGCGATTTATCGTGCCAACTGCCTTTAAGGTTGTCACCAGCTACCAGAATTAGCTCTTCATTAGCACATCATTAGCACCACTGACGCCCTCTGTCACATATTTTCTGTTACAATAAATAGCTGATAACGTCGAAATAAGCCAGGGCGGTGGCAGGAAAAGCGTGAACAGCCCGGCTCCTTCTGCTTTGCTCTAGCAATGGTGACCGATAAGTGATCCAATAGTAAGAAAACGACCAGAAAAGAAAAAGCCGCTGCTGATCCTCTTCCTCTCATCTCGAGACCGCCCCAATCGATTGCGATCTTATCAACTATACAAGATGATATCAATTATACATGAAGAAATGCGTAGCAAGGATAATGCAACAATCAAGGATGTAGATTAGTCCATCCGAGTGGCAACAAGGGCGGTTAGAGCGCGTTGCAAGCAAGGTCTCGCGCGGCATTTGCACCAAACCTCAAACTCGCCATGGCAATGCTGCAGGACCTGAAAAAGATAACCAACGAACTTAAGATTGGCGAGTCGTCCTGTTCGTCGCTCTTGCGAACTTCGACCTTCTTCTCGGAGTTTATCTTGCAAGAGACGTCGATTTATTGGAGATCCTAGAAACATAAATCCAGAAAATAAATCCCATATAAATACTCAGTAATCAATTACCTATGAAAGAAAGCACTACGGGAAGAAAGATCAGCCCATGCAATGCACCAATTATTACAATTCCCAAAAACATTCGGAAGTAGAAGACCTGAAACAGTAACCATGAGTGAATTGGTAGTTGGAGACCATTACAGCGAGAAAAAGCTTACTTTAAAGATTTGGGAATGTGCAAAGGCTAACACCAACGTCCCTCCGAGCATTGTTAATGTGATTCCCGAGAACACCTACAGAAAACTGATAATTGAACAGAACAGTAAAGAAGTAGTGAAAACGCACGGTGGATCCCATTTGTGCCAGCGCTTCCTCGGCCCTCTCAATACGGGTGCGACGGACAGAATGCGTGAATATCCGTATTATATGGACGATGAACTCTACAGAAATTCCAAGCGACTGAAATCAGATTAATAAGGAATCAACAAAATAAACAGCATTTCCTTGAGGTTTAGTATTCTTCGCAAAAAGCACAAGCAGCGATATACAGACCATATCACGGCTCTGGAGGGGTGTAGGAGCGTTTATCGATTCAGTCGTGTGTGCGGCGGCGATACGCTGTGGCAGTCCAGAGGCGTAGGCAGTGGAGAACGCAGACAACACAGAAAACGTTGATGCACCTCTACAATGCTGCGTGCATCATTTGAATGTGTATGAGACTATCAGCCCCCAGCTGTCGATGTTCATGGTCCCTCGCCCGAAACTGCAGGGTCAGAATTACGATTTTTCCACGGGGCCGTGGGAAAGTCGTAATTCCTTGCTACGCCGCCGTTTCGCAAACTCACGTTTTTACTAACACCGTCCGCGCGGCGCGGTCGCGTGCAGCTCTTGGCTTTTTGCCAAGTCCTGTAATTGCGCTTTGGAATACAAGTACAACGCAATTTCTTTATGCGGATAACATTTTAGGTGCTGCAAAATAAGAACCGAAGATGATGACGAGGGCTAGAACTCAAGAGCAACTGTGGTGCTTCTGCAATATCCCTCAGAGGCCGCGCATTCCCACAGAACATGACAATAAAAACGGACAACATGACAATAAAACATGACAATACAAGCAAAACGCAATTTCCTAACATTTGAGGTATTGCTCATGCTTCAAAGTCCGAATAGAAGGTGATGAAGATGACAAAGGCTAGAAATGAAGAACACCAATAAATCGACGTCTCTTGCAAGATAAACTCCGAGAAGAAGGTCGAAGTTTCGCAAGAGCGACGAACAGGACGACTCGCCAATCTTAAGTTCGTTGGTTATCTTTTTCAGGTCCTGCAGCATTGCCATGGCGAGTTTGAGGTTTGGTGCAAATGCCGCGCGAGACCTTGCTTGCAACGCGCTCTAACCGCCCTTGTTGCCACTCGGATGGACTAATCTACATCCTTGATTGTTGCATTATCCTTGCTACGCATTTCTTCATGTATAATTGATATCATCTTGTATAGTTGATAAGATCGCAATCGATTGGGGCGGTCTCGAGATGAGAGGAAGAGGATCAGCAGCGGCTTTTTCTTTTCTGGTCGTTTTCTTACTATTGGATCACTTATCGGTCACCATTGCTAGAGCAAAGCAGAAGGAGCCGGGCTGTTCACGCTTTTCCTGCCACCGCCCTGGCTTATTTCGACGTTATCAGCT